CTCAAAGATCACTGTGGAGGGTAACTGCAGCCATGGAATTAAAAGAAGCTTGCTCCTTGGAAGAAAAGCTATGCAAATCTGGACAGCATACTAAAAAGTAGAGACATCACCTTGCCAGCAAAGGTCTGTATAGTCAAAGCTAGTTTTTCTAGTAGCAATATATGGCTGTAAGAGTTGGACTATAAGGAAAGCTGAGTGCCACAGAATCAGTGCTTTTGAATTGTGGTGCTATAGAATTTCGAGAGTCCCTTGGATAGCAAGGAGATCAAATCAGTCAGTCCTTAAAGTAATTAATTCAGGCTATTCACTGAAAGGTAATACTGAAGCTGAAACTTAAATACTTTGGTCACATAATGAAAGATGGGACTCATTGGAAAAAACCCTGATGTTGAGGAATATTAAAGGCAAAAGGAAAAGGGGATGGCAGAGGATGAGATGGATAAATAGTGTCATGGGAGCAACAAACATGAACTTGGACAGGCTTCACAGGTAGTGGAGCAAAGAAGGGTCTGGTGCACTATGATGTATGGGCTCACAAAGAGTTGGACATGACTGAACATCAACAGTATAACACAGTACATCTGTAATAGAATCCATAACACGTACAAACATACGTAAATGTGTATGTTTGTATTATGGATTGTGGAGATACAGGGAGACCAGTTAGGAAGCTGTTGTAATAGTTGAGGGGGGAAGTGAAAAGGATACTTGTGTTTTGAGTAGAGAGAAAGCTATAGATATATTGAGGAGGTAGAAATCAACGAGACTGGGCACTTGATTTCATGTGGGAGAGGCAAGTGAGGGAAAAGATGACTCCTAGGTTATGAACCTGAGTGACTGGAAGAATGGCAGTACCCTTGACAGAAATAGGAAAGTTAGGTCACGTGGTAAGCAAAGGAGAAAAGATAATGAACCCTATTTTGAATATGTTGATCTTGAGATATCTATAGTATATCCAGGCATGAATGTTAAAAAAGTAGTTGAAGATGAGGGCGGGATGTGTAGATGTAGAATTAATCTTCATAAAGAAAATAGTTGAACCTGTAGAAGCTGTTGAGCTCACTAGTAAAGAGAGTCTAGATCAGGGGTGGGGAACCTTCAGTCTCACCTCTGGTAGATAGATATATCCACATGTATAGGTTTACCCATTCATAGAGGGTAAACAGGTGATGATTCTGTCAGGAGATTGAGACTTTCTGGCCAAGTTGGCTACCAGAATAGAAGCAGACTCTTTAGCTTTTACATGCTAATTCAGCAAAAACCTTAAATTTACATGAGATTGGATAATTATCAAGAAATCTAGTGAGAAACTACAGTAAGTGATGTCTTTCAGTCCAGAATTTTCAAAATTCAGCTAGAAGTACACAGGCAGTAGAAAAGGAAGCCAGGGTAGGCAAACAAATAAGCAAACAGCCTCCCAGTGTGACCAGAGGTATGCAGTTCTATATATAGACTTAGCAAATGTAGAGATTTCTTCTAGGAAAGCCCCAGGGTGATGAGAAACCCACAGCAGTGACCTTGGAAGCCACCAGGAGGGGGGTAGTGACCATTGAAGGTCAGCAACACTTTGATTGGGATAGCCCAACAGCCTGAGCATCCCTCTGATATGCCAGAGAGGGCCCCAAAAATGCAGCAGTCTGATCTTCAGAGATCTGGAGGTGGCCTAACCCTAGGAGCTGGAAGTCTTTGTTGGAACCCAGGTGACAAAGAGTGAGACCAAGAAGAGCCTGATTCAAAAGTGCAGTGGTGGGAGGAGCTTGGCCCTGTTACCCAATGAAGAAACAGTTGTAGAATGAATAAAGGAGATCAATCAAATAAGACACTACTGTAAGAGATTATTATAGATCTAGAGATGCCCCAAAATAAATCTGAAATGCCTGTAAGCAGGGAATCAAAGGAAAAGATGGATTTTCTACAAGGACTATTTGAGTGCCCAGAAGAAATGTTGCAAGAGAGAAGAAAGGAAATCAAAACTTTGAAAGAAAGAATTGGAAAGAGAATAATAGCTTAGAAAGTGGTAAACCTTATCTGAGTAACTCTCTGAAAATTAGAATAGACAAGATAGAAATTAATGACTCTATGAGACAGCAAGAAATAGTATAACAAAATGAAAAGATTGAAAAAGTAGAAAAATATACATATATTTTATGTATATCTGTATATATATATATATATATAATATAAAGTTTCCAGTTTAAAACACTACTGAACTGGAAATTGAATCAATTAAGAATCAATGGAGTCCCTGAAAGCCATGATTTAAAAAACAATCCTGGATGCTATATTTCAAGAAATCAAATGAAAACTACCCAGAACGGTTTGAAGTAGGGGGCACCTATTGAAAGAAATCTCAGAAGGAAAAGGAAGGTCAGGATCAAAAAAGACCTGGCAGCTTCTAGTGAAAAAAGAGGAGATCTTAGAATATAATATTCCAAAAGGCAAAAGAGGGAGACTTACAAACAAGAATAATTTACTCTGCAAAGCTGACTGCAATCCTGTAGGGGGAAAAATAGATCTTTGATGGAATAGAGTGCCTTCAAACATTTCTCATGAAAAGATTAGAGCAGAGTAGGAACTTTTAAATGTAAGCATAAGAGTCTAGAGAAACCTAGAAAGGTAAAATTATTTGAGAAATCAGAAGGGGTATGATGATGTAGTGCTAGTACTCTCTTTGTGGAGAAGAAACAAGTGTCCTTGTAGAACCTTAATGTGTTCAGAGAATACTGATGGGGTTAAATAAAAAAAAATGGAGGACCTAGGAGTCTATTGTTTCTGTTTCTGAGATTTAAGAGTGGAAACAGAAGGTAGGATAAAACCAGGAGTATACTTGTATAGAAAGGAGGAAGAATGGAGTTGAACTTGTAGTTTCTCATAATAAGGATACTGGAGAAGAAAGAGTATAGAAACGTGGAGGAAGGAATGAGGGAATAGGTATTAGATGAACCTCACTCTTACCTAAATGGAGAAAGGAGGGTTCAACACATACATACACAAATAATTTGGTGTAGAAATACATAAGACTCAACAGGATTGAGGTTTATGAGTGGGGTTAGAAAGAGGGAGAAGGTGAAGATTAAAGATAGGGGTGATGATTATGACTTTCTCCTTTGGAGTTTAGCAGAAGGCAGATTGTCTAAATCTAAAGGTTAGATTTGGATGGGGGTGAGGGGATGGAACAAGAGAGTTTAGATATTCAGGCCTGGTTCAAGGGCAGTGTAAAGTTGAAGTAGTTTTAAGTAAAGGATCCAGATTTGAAGGTGTGAACTTGAGGCAAGAGTTGGAATGAAAAAGAAGTGAAAGAGTTGCCTGGCTTGGCAAGTAGGGGTAGAGTGATTGGAAATTGCTATGAGTAAGGAGGAGAGGTTTAGTAGTATGAATGAAACACAGGGAGAAATGGAAGGACAGTGGAAAAAGCGCTGGGTTTAGAGGCAGAGGATCTGGGTTTCAACTCCATCTATGATGATTATTACCTATGTTACCATAAAAATTCAACCAGATGGACTCTGAAATCCTTTCCAGCTCTATCTCTGATCCTCTGATCAGAGAAAGGAAATTGAAACAGATAAATGTATTATGGAATTAAAATGCTTATGGATGATGTTGAGATCAAAGGAATGAATATCTTTTTGTTTGATTGAGACAGAATGCATGTGCAAATCATAGGAGTTGAAGAGGTTGATGAACTGGGAAGAAGTCCCCAAGTTTATAAAACAGGACTTGGTGTGGAGAAGAAGGAAATTATTTTGAAAGCTAATATATTTTTTGAGGTTTTTATCACTGATCTTTATCATTGCGAGAGTGTGCCCATTATATGTTAGAGCATTCTACTTTGTGTATTGTTTTTTAAATAAAATGGAAGCCAGAAGTAGATTAAATAGCTGACTTAGTAAAGTAGTCCATTAAAAACAGGATAGATAAGTAAGGTGGAAATTCAGGGTATACTTGAATACCTAAAGTTAACAAAAGATAAACACAGTTAATAGAATTGGGAAGTGCTAATTAGACATGTATATCACAGAAAAAAACATGAGCCACTGAGGACCAGTTATGGAGTAGAGTCATCACTGGTAGGTATTTGACTACAAATTGAATGGGAGTCAGTAATATATCTATACACACATGCATAATGATGAGATATATTAAGGGATGTTGCAAGCAAGATCCAGCAAACTTGGAATTGTTTAGATATTTATTAGAGTAGTATATCTCTTCTTTGAAAGAGGATATAGAAAGACTGAAGATGGTTTTGGGAAGAAACAATAGAAATGACTAACGGGATGGAAAATAGGACTTTCTAGGAAAGATTAAGGAATTGAGCTTTTGTTTACTCTGGAAAAATAAAGACTTAAATTCACGTATATGTATGTGCGGTGTGTGTGTGTAGTATTTGCCATAAACAGAGGACCAGACAAAAATTGGCTTAAATGGCAAATAGAAAATTTAGTCACTGAAGTAGATTACTGAGGGAGGTTATGGACTGTTCATCCTTGGGAGATGTTTAAATACCATCAGCAGATAGTTATTTGTTGGGTAGTTTAGCTGTATGAAGTATATATTAATTTACTTCTTTGCATATTTATTTTACTCACTTTACTGTAGTTTATTAAACATTATTCTAGGAATCTTATTAAATGGATAATCTTTATGTACTTTTTGTAAAATCCATAGACTCCATATTTCAATATTTTGTCATACCTTTGTGATCTTGAGAAAGTTACTTAACATTCTTGGGTTTCGGTTTCCTCATCTGTAAAATGTGTTTGTTAGATAACATCAGAAATCATTATGTAGCTATAAATCTATGTTCTTGAAGTAATTAAAGATTATGCAATAGTAGGTGCTCATTTAACCTATATTCACTTTAAAGTCTGTTCTGGAACTTTTGTATGGTGACATCTGAGATCCTGTAGAAGTCATCTTGTTACGAATAACTTTAATATGTCTTGCTTATCTACTGACAGTTGATAGTTTATAAATATGCTATAACTCTTTTGCAACAGGGAGTTCTCTTGGTATATGACATTACAAATTACCAAAGCTTTGAGAATTTAGAAGACTGGTATAACATGGTGAAGAAAGTGAATGAAGAGTCAGAAACACAACCATTGGTGGCCTTGGTGGGCAATAAAAGTAAGTGATTATTTTATACTAACTAATGTATAGTAACATTTTCTTTACTTACAATAAAACCAATGGTTTTATTTATGAAAGAATAGTTAAGATACTTAGATTTTTAGAAATTTATAGAAATACAGCCTTCATAGAATTTCCAGATTGTGAGAACTGAAAATATTCCTTGATGTATACAGTTTTTTTGTTTTTAGAAACTGTTATGGTTGGTTGATCATATCATGACTACTTTAACCAATTCTGTTAAGGTAAATGCAGTACTGGCAGTGTTCACTTAGGCTTCCTGAGTTCTGAACATGGAGTATGGATTTTTAAGAGTAGCAACAGAGCTGCAGATTTTGTGACAACTTGATTGCTTGTATACTCTACCCCAGAGATTTTTTTGAAAGATGAGGCTCCTAAAGTGATTCTCTGCCTTAGGGAAAGAGGTAGTTATATTTTGAGGTCTGATACATAACTTTTTAATTTTTCATTATTTTCTTTGGTAAATTTTGGGGAATTTGTATTAAAATACTAGATCATTCTTCTGCATTCTTCTGCAAGTGGATTATTCTGGGTGCATGGGTAAGTGGTGATACACTGCATTGGAAGATGAAAATTGTGGCTGGATAATTTTTTGGAAATTATTTTCAAAGTTGAAATATGATATGTGGGAATTTGAAGCTGATTTCTCTTTTATATTCAGCAGTAGAGTTCTATCATATTCCATAACCTGAAACCTGAGAGGCTAGAGAAAGAGTTTAAGGGTAAAGACTGTAATATAGTTGTTCAGTGTTTAATATTCATAGGACAGTGGCCTGCTGCTTTCTATCTCACTTGAAGTTAGAACAAGAAGAAATTGTAGCATGAGGGAATTAAATTTAGGTGTAAAGAAATACTTAATACCAGTGAGAGTTGTTAAATATTTGAGTGTGCTACTAAGAGAATTATCTTCTCCAAAGGTCTTTTTAAAAAAGTAAGTTATTTGTTGTGGAATGGTTCAACTATAGTTCTTTCTGAAGATAGGACCCAAGTTTCTCCTGCGTTTATTTTTCAGTGAATTTAGATTGGTATAGATTTATTAAAATGGGGTAGGGCAAGATGGAGAGAATTTATTTTATTTCTAGTGTAAGAACTTACCATGATTCAGATAAAAATTTGATTATGCTTTCTAGAAAATAATTTTGCCCATCCTGACATGGTTTGATTTGGGTAGAAAATTTCATTGTTTTTATAAAGCTTTAACCAGCTTTCTTTGCATTATACAATACTATTTGCATTCTTCCTTCATCTGCTTTCTGTGGAACCTTGATTGAAATTGATTGCTAATTATTTTACTGCAATCCTTTTTGTTTTTATTTTTTTATTTTTATTTTTTTTGAGGCAGAGTTAAGTGACTTACCCAGGGTCACACAAGCTAGTAAGTATCTGTGAGGCCAGATTTAAATTCAGGTCATCCTGACTTTAGGGCTGGTGCTCTATCCACTCTTCTACCTAGCTGCCCCTACCTTTTAAAAATCAAAGTAAGTTTAGATGACTTTTTCTTCATCCTGTCATCATGCCACTTTCCACTTTAGGCCATCTTCTCTTAGTCCCAGACTCAGTTGTTATGTATGATTGAACTTGTATTGTAATAGAACCTTTTTCTGTAGTCTTTTGGGAAAATGTTCAGAGGGTGGAGACTGGGGAGAATTTTGTTTTAATTTTTCTCATAATCTAATCACCTTTTGGGTAAGGGATAAATATTCCCTCTTTCATGGTATATTGGCACAGTTATTTATATTTATATATATTATGTTGTATGTTTATGCTATGCTCTGAGGCATCTAAGCATTGGTCACTGTCAAAGGCAGGATAATCAGACTAGATGCACTGTTGGTCTGTTCTGGTGTTGCCATTCCCAGGTTTTAAAAACAAATATTTATGCAAAAATACACTAATTCATTGCTTGAGAATGCACAAAAGTCCAGCATTTTCCTATAGCTGCCTTGGCTATAATCCCTTTCTTATGTGTATTATAATAGGGTCTTTCAGTTTAAGATCATGTAACAAAGCATGCAGTCACATAGAATGGCACATATGTTAAATGAAGAGATTCTAGGAGAAAATTTAGTCCCCTTTCTACTTATTTACTTGTAGTCTGTCATTTTGCCTGGTATCACATGTTCTTGTAATGAAAGATTCTTCAACTAAAATTATTAGGACTATAGCTTTGAGTTATGTTAGAATGTGCATTTTTTTCTCAAAGGAAAATTTATATTTATATTTATATGAAAAATGAAATATATGAAAAATGTAGACAGTTGGACCTAAAGCAATAGAAACATGGAAAACCACATACGGCTTTAGTCTGTCTTCATCACTATTGAAATAGAATCAAGTTTTCCAAGCTCAGTTTGTATTTAATTTGTACTGTTCTTGGCAGCCTAAATTCTAGAAAATAAGTGTTAAAAATTAATATATTTTGTAGGTACTAGGAAACATTGGCAGTAGTAGGCAAAAAATTTTTAGCCCAGTTAAACATGTTTACATGATTACATGGATAAGTCAGAGAAAAAAAATGGCATAAACTGTTTGCTCTAGACAACCGATTTCCTCATTGTTTTATTAATTTTCCATGTTCATTCATGTCTCTTTACTTTTGCTTACATGGTTTTGTCTCCCAGGAGCTCTTTCACCTCTTCTCCACTTCTGTGAATCTTAGCTTTTGTTCGAGGTCCAGCTCAGGTTCTTTTTTCTGTATTAAGTTGATTTCCCCTGCTCTCAGTTATTACTCCCTTCCTTGGATTCCCGTACCTCTGGTTGCCTGTACCACTCTGTTACGTAGCATATGCTACCATATATTGCTTTTTATGAATATATTCGGTTTCATCAAACAAGACTGTACTATAGTCCCTTCCAGATTAAGGACCCTGACTTTAACAAAGCTCAAAAGAAATGAGTGCTTTGTGAACCTTAAATAAGTACTATATAAATACTTTAAAAAGCAATACAATTTTAAAAAATACATGTTAAATGTCAACATTGCTTTAAAAATAATAATACAACCTTTTATGCCCTGAGGGACTAGCACAGTGACCTTAGAAATAACAGGTGCTCAATAAATGTCTGATGATGATGATGATTAAATAGGTGGTTCCTCCAGAAATCAGTTTTTATACTTTTCTAGTACACAACCAGGGTACGCCCTGGTGATTTTTTCTTGGGGATGGGATGGGTTCTGATTTCAAGACCAGCTGTCTATCCAGTGTACCACCAGCAAGATAAGTTTCTTGAGGACATGGGACCTTTATGTATCTCCATGAGAGGCAATTTGGTAGCATAGGAAGAGCTCCAGCCTTAGGCGTACACTTGTTGTATGATTCTGGGTGAGTCATGTAACTTCTCAGTGCTCTAGGCAGTTCTCTAAGACTTAAGTTGCAGAGAAGTTGCTGGTCTACATTGGGAGAGGGAATTACCTCACCTGAGATTTCCTATACCAGTAAAATCACAGGTCCTTCCCTATTCCTCTTATGTGTACCTTGCACATTAGTACTTAACAGTACTATTTTGATTTGTTTTTTTTTTAAATTTATGACTAAAGTATGTTTTGATATTTATGCATTTTACTGTGATTAGAATTGGCCCTTGGTAATCTCCTCAGTCCCCCTCCCAGCCATTGGTAGTAACCAGTCAATCAGCAAACATTTATTGAGCATCACCTATGTGCCCTGCAAAGTGCCAGGCATCGGGGATGTAAAGATAACAAGAAAGCAGGCCCTGTCCTCAAGAAACTTCTGTTGGGGGAGACAACATATACATACATAAATATATGCAGAATAAATACAAAATATACGATAACTGAGAGATGTAGGAAGATGGAAGTTGGAGGGGGTCAGGGAGGGCTTCATGTGCTCTCTTCATAGAAGATAGTCCTTTATTTGATTCTTGACGGAAGTAAGGGATTTTACAAGATAAAATTGATGGAATGCATTCCAGACATTGGAGATAGTCAATGAAAAGATCTAGACTAGAATTGGGAGCTGTAATGCTGTATGTGAGTAGTAGAGTGAAGTCCAGTTTGGATGGATTGTACAGAGCAAGAAGGGAAATAGTGTCTTATGAGGCTGGAAAGACAGGTTGGGCTAGGTGATGAAAGGCTTTCAAAGCCAAACTGTGGCATTTATATTTGATCCTAGAGGCAATAGGGAGCCACTGGAGTTTGATTGGAGGAGTGAAATGTGCTGAAGGAAAATCACTTTGGTAGCTGAGTGGAGAATGGATTGAAGAAGGGAGAGACTTAAGGTAGGCAGACCAATTAGAAGGCCAGAAATAAATCCAGGTGAGAGGTGTTGAGGACCTGAACTAATGTGGTGGCTAAGTGAGTCAAGAGAAGGGAATGCATGTGAGAGATTTTGTAGAGACAGAAATGGCAAGATTTGTCAATTGATTAGATATATGGAGTGAATGAGAATGAGGAGTTGAGGATAACACCCAGATTGTAAAGGTGAGAGATTGGAAGGATGGTGGTAACCTTGACACAGACTGGGAGAGGGGTTGGTTTGAGTAGTAATAGAAATTGTGTTGGATATACTGAGTTTGAGATATGTATGGGATATCCATTTTGAAATGTCTAGTAGGCAGTTGGTGATACTGCTCTGAAGCTTAAGGGAAAGACTAGGGCTATGTATGAACATACACAGACATAGATATGTGTATGTATATATACATATAAATAAAATTATTTGCATAGCAATAATTAAAACCATGGAAGCTGATGATGTCTTCAAGAGAAAAAGTATAGAGTGAGAAGAGAAAAAAAGGCCAGGACAGGGCTTTGGAGTAAACCCCATGGTTTGGGGGTGTGATATGAATGGATGAGTTAGAAAAGGAGTCTGAGAAATGGTTAGACAGGTAGAAGGAGAACTTGGGGAAAGTAGTCAGGAAAACTCGGGTGAGAGAAAGTATCTAGGAAGAGAGAGCCAGCAGTTTCAAATGCAGTAGCTAGGTTGAGAAGAATCAGGATTGAGAAAAGACCATCA